GCTATTGTTTCATTTTTTCCCATCTGTGCTTTACCATATAAGTAAATATAAGTGTCTAGAGCAAAGGTTAAAATAAAACAAGCTAGTTAAATGAAATGTTCTTACTTGTACTTTAATAGTCCAATCAATAAAAATCAGCTTCTCTGGCATGCTTTCTGGCCAGAAATGTTATTAACAGAAGTAAAATATAGGAGGACCAGGAGAGTGGTTGGTGTGGGCACTTACGCCACAGAGACCAGGGTGGAACCTATGTGGGAGGGGACAGTCCATGTCATGGGCCACTGCAGGGCTCCCTGTGGCATGAGGAAGAGAAGGGTGCCAAGGTGAGAGAGTGGGCAGCTTCCTGGCGGCTGGCTAGAAGAGGGAGGCACGGGTGTCGGGTGACGCTTGTGATTGTACATCCCTCCTGGCCAGCCTCCCACCCATCCCCCGGCCTGCCACTGCTCCGCTTATTTCTACCCTGGAACCATTTCCTGTCAAGTAGAAAGTACCCAGCCATCCTGGCTGCTGATAAAAAAGGGTACAATTTTGGACTGGTTACCTAGAATGAATGCTCCATAAGAAGGGTAAATATGTGGGCTAAAACCTGGTCATCTCCATGTAAGATGAGAGATAAAAAAAGAAACAGGAGCTGTCTGTCGGGGTGGACACCTCTAATCCCAGAACTCTGGAAGGCTGAGGGAAAGAAGGTCACAAGTTCCAGCCCAGCCCAGGCAACTAAATGAGACCTTGTCTCAAAAGCAGAAAAATTAAAATGGGCTGGGGCTGTAACTCAGTGCAAAAGCCCTGGGTTCAATCCCCAGATCCAATAATAGAACAGAAGAGAGACCAAGATCCTGTACTACTCTTTGCTGATCCAGAGGCAAAACAACCTGTGGACACAAGTTCCAGGAAGAATTCCTGGGTATGGTATCCAGGTTGCCCAGAAAGGAAACACTCCCCTCTGAGTAGCGAGTGACCCATCCCTGAGGTTTCAGTAGGAAAATCGACATGTGATGGAGACTCTTGCATCAATTAGGCCAGCAGAACGGATACTTCTTTAAGATTCACCCTGGCCCTAGGCATAAGATGACTAATCAGACTACTATGAAGTACACACGGTCTCCTTCCTCTTCCAAGGATGCTTCATGAACCTGACAGCAGACATTGTGGAGGAGCATAATGATCAATATCTGTGATGGAGATGATTGGCCAACCTCCCAAACTTCTCCTACCAAGACTAGGAAGGTGAGAGCCATATTCCAGATTTCCATCCTATAACTTTCCTTCCACTTCTCTCCTTTACGAAAGCAAAAACTTCTCATCTTAAAAGCCAGAGGATAACTGCAGACTATAAAAACTCGCAAAATGGAGTTGTGTTACTCCATGCAGCGGGTGGGCAGTGAATCAGTACCCTGTATTGCACTGATCCCAGGTCCTCCAACTGCCCACTCCCATACGTGATGTACACAGCACTGTGTGGAGGGGATCTGAATAAACATCCCTCCTGTAGCATCAATTTTACGTTAAGATTTGGAGAAATAAATGTGTCTGTACTGGATGGCTCAATTAAACAATACAGAAGAGGAAAGAAGAGAATGCAAAGTTCACATGCATTTTTAAGATTAAAAACAAGATTTTTAAGAAGATTCTGGCTCACCTTGGAGGTGTTTACGGTTATAGTTACAGATTCCTGAACACATTCCTTCTTCTTCAAATAGGGTACTTGGGTAGAAAAGTTTAATAACCAAAGGCTCACTCCATGACCTAAAGACAGGAATTCTTTCCTTCTCTTTTTGGTTTTCCTATATGGAAGTCCAGAGATGAAGCCAGAAAGAATGCTGTTGGGCCCTGAAGACAAGATGTACTCAAAAATCTGCCATAAGAATAGCTCCAAGTTGATTTCAGTTTTAGCCTCTAGGTCATAACCTTCCTCCTTCATACTCCCAAATTCTTCACATAGATAGGTAAATGCATCAATTTTCAGATTCTTCCCCAAAAATATTAAAAAGCAATATATAAGCACAAAAGTACACAGAGCTACTTTCGAAATACTTAAGCCCAAAGCAGAAGTCATTGTAAAAACCTCCTACCTTCCCCCAACATACACACTTAAGTATGATGTGGGAACGGGGTAACCTACTGAGGGCAAGCTTCGGCGGGGAGAGGCGAAACAAGCAGATTTTTCTGAGTATGGCTTAAGAGATGTGAAACCCTCCCCTCTCCCACTCAGTTATGGAAGCTGAGTTACACAGACTGGTTCAAGCATTCCCATGCGTAGTCTCATATACTAACTTATCATTAGGAAACAGGTACTACTGCCCTAATTTACATGTGAGGCAGTTGAGGATCAGGAGTGCAGAATCGGCTTCGACTGCCTAATTTACAAGTCACAAACAGAGTCAACTCAGGTCTGACTCCAAAGTCTTACTATTTTTTTTTCTACCATATGTCTTTTTTCCATATTATTCTGCTGCCTCCTGACCCATCCCTCCTTCTCTCCCTCTCTCTCTCTCATCTCTAGCTTTCTCAATCTCTCAATTTTTCCTCCCTCAATCTATCTCTCTCAATCTTTCAATCTCTCAATTGTTCTCCCTTTCAATCTACCTCTCTCTCAATCTTTCTCAATCTTTCTTTCAATTTCTGTCTCTCAATCTCTCTAGCTCTCTCTCAATCTGTCTCTCAATCTCTCTCCCTCCTTCATCCCCCCGACCCTTTTATTATTACAGTAATTACTGATTTCTTACTATCCACCTAAAGTTTAATGTGAGGCTTCCATTTCCTATTAGTAATTGTTGTCGACAGGGTTGGGGTGTCAGATGTGTGGCCACTTTGTTCTCACGGTCTTCTGGGTTGGGATTATTTAACAGCTATTAGGACATAACGGATGCTTCAGCTGTCTGTAGAAGGCTCTGCCACAAAAGTATCCATGTATCAGTCAAACCACGCTCTTGCATTTATGGCTCTCTTCCCATTACAGGCACAGTTTTCTGGTCACAGTTGGAACTGTGCTTATTTGTGTGTAGCAGGGCAAGGTTAATAGCCACAAAAGAAGTAGCCTAAATCTTCCCTGCAGTAAGACCAAAAGGTGTCTTAGCTGCTATTACACTTCGATAGACAAGACGCCCATCCTGTCAATCCGTCCTGGGCAGAATAAAATGGAAAACAAATGATCCGAATTGATTTTTATTTCCAGCATCTCAGGATATAGACAACCCCCTTTTCCTAGAATCACTTTCTCCTCTATGAATCTTTCAATTCCTAAAATCCACTGTCCATTTTGCTCTATCTCTTCACACTTATGTCTGACATTTTTTCATGAAATATCATAATGCCTCCAGTGTTTTCTCTGATGATTTCATTATTCACTGCATGTCCTTTGTAACTCCTTTATAACCCTGCAGCCCTATCAAAGTCAGTTTCACTGCTCATTCCAGATAGGCACCGAGCCAATCAATGTATGGCCAATAACACTCACTCTGTGCTAACTTAAAATACACAGTGCAACTTGCCAAGTTTCCTTATTTGGCAAGAAGGTCCCTCAGTTCCCAAGATCTTTGACCATCCATTTTTAGATCCAAATGCTGGTGCTTAATATTTGAATATTACTCTCTTTAATGTGTGCTTATGCATCTCCTAAAATAATAGGAAAAAGCAATCAATCATCTATTTGCACTGCTAGGCTAGAAAAAAAAAATGTCCTTGCTATTATGTTACGGTTGTTTATTCTGGAATTATTACCCCTAAAACTTATATAATTTAACCAACAATTCCCAGTTAAAAAAAAAAAAACTACTTAAATAATTCCAAAAAGTTAGAGTAGGAATTGTGAAAGATTAAAATAAACAGTGCATACTGCTCCAAAAGACCATTTTTCTTTCTCTTAATTCTAAACAAACTAAATTCATTTTCATTTACAATATCCCAAATCTCTCACTATTGTAGCAAGAATCTAAAACAAAGGCTTTACAAATGATAAAAACCGTAATTAAAATGCAGCCGTCACATATTTTTTTAAATTAAAAAAAAGACATGAAAATTCACTGTGCAAATAGGCCTTCTTCAAAGACATTAACTTGTTGAGTCATTTGTTTATTTTTGTCTTCAAACGTTTTCCTCTGTAGGTTTGGATCCACTAATTCCTAGCTGTTGGTTTCACCTTGGGTCAGGAAAGGAAGAAGTCTCTCAGCTTCGGAGTACCCTTTAACAACAATCTTAACTCAAATATCCTCGAATTCATTCTGCAAGACGATTCTCATACACATTATTAATGAAAGCTGCTAATTGTAAAATCGTTGGAACGGGCCACCAAATGGTGTGCTTTCACTGTTAACGAAACTAACAAAAATAGTAATTAAGTTCCTCATAAACAGTGCTTATGCGGGATCTCGAGGCTTGTCAGAAACGTACATTTCTGGCAATCTAACAATGATGATCCATTGTATTTTAGGCAATTCGATGTCATGAATTCGGTTTTGAATTAGTTTTTCTGAACGCTGTCACGCGAGAGCGAGGCGTGGCGGGGCCCCGGCGCGGGCTCTGCGGCTCTGCCAAGGGGTTGCCCTGGGCTCGGAGGAAGGAAAGGGCGAGGCGGGAGCGGGCGAGCTCCCGGGCCGCAGCCGGAAGGGAAGGAGCAGTCGCCCCCGGAGGCGGACAGGACGAAGCAGAAGTTGGTGTCTCTGTGGGCACGCAAGAGCTCCGCGGGAAGTGGCCCGAGCCAGGCCGGATTCGGCAAACCCGCGCCTCGCCCCGAGGGGGCCCGGTTCCCCCGCCGCCCATCTGCTCGCTGCCCGCCCGGGCAGCCCCACCCCGCGCCCCACAGCCCGGGGCGCCCCAGCCTGGGCCTGCTCCTCCGGGCGCCAACTCCTCGGCGGGACCGGCCCGAACTTCCCGGCGCCGGCGAAGCCGGGCGCACACTCGGGGCCCGGCTCCGGGAGGGGCGCCGCGGCGGGGCCTGGCCCGGGGACTGGAGCGCGGCGGCCTCGCCTGCCACCCCTCGGCGGCCCCCGCCCGGCCCCTACCTGGCTCCCGGGGCGCGGAGGCCCCGCGCGACGAGGGCGGCGGGGTCGGGGCGACGGCGGCCCGGCAGCTCTCACGCTTCCGTCTGAGTCAGGAGTTGAACATTCCGCCTCTCCGCGCGGCGCCAATGAGGGAGACAGTCGCGGCAACAGCACCACCTACCTCCGAGCGCGGAAAGGCCGGGCCCCCTGCCCGCTCCGACGCGAGGCGAACAGGGCGTGGGGAGAGAAGGCCGGCGCCCGGGGTGCCCAGCCCGGAGCCCAGAGCCCGCGCGGCCCGGGGACGCGCCTGCCCTGCCGCGAGCGCGCGCGCGGGGCTCTTCCTCGGCCCCGGTACCTTACCGTGTTTTTGACAAGTTGCCACCACCTATTCGGTCACTCAGTCGTCAACAAACACAGGCGCTGGGAATGCAGAGATGGGAGACTGCTTCGAGCCCCTACAGGAGTTAATTCTCTAGTTGGTTTGGGGACAGACACGGGAAGAGATTTCTGGGGAGAATGGGGCCGCAGATGTCACGGTGGACCCATCAGTAGGTACCTCTGGGAATTTTTCAGGAGTGGTCACGGTCTGCTGCTCTAGTGGGTGACTTTAAATGGAAGTGCCTCAACTTCAGATGAGGAAGGAGTCCACTGCAAGTGTGAACAATAGATGACAGTGGGCTTTGGGAAGAAAAGAAGTGTGTTGTTGATCGGGAAGGATGGTGCTGTGGAGGATAGTGAGCAGGCTGCAAAGGGATGGGCAGCGTTACCCAGGACTTTGAGTTTGATCTTAATCACCCGTGGACACTGGGGAACCGTGAAAGTTGGCATCGGGGGCAGATGAGTGTGGTTTTTGTTTTAATGGTGATATACAGTGATTCACGGTGGTTGCAGAAGGGGTTGTTAAGGAAGGAAACAGGCTGAGTGGTGGATATTATCACTACCTAGTTACGGGACCATGAAGTTAGATGGTACAAAATGGAATTTAAAAGTGAGGAATTGGGAGCTGAGTTTCGGAAAGAGGTCACAGAAATTAGTGACCCAATGGATTGGAAAAGAAGAGGAAGGCGATGCTGCCAGATTTCAGACCTGGGTGACGGGAAGAATGATGGTGTCATTGACAGAAATAGGAATATGTGAAGGGGAAGCTGGCTTCCTGCTGAGTCTGAGGTCACAGAGGAAAATCAGGTAGAGATGCAGCAATTGAGATAGGAAACTGAAATTCAGAAAAGAGGCCAAGAGGGAAAATATAAAGTTTGTAAATCATTCATATAGGTTAAAGATATGAATGTGAAGGGATGGGTGAATATATGTTAGAAAACCAACTTTCTAGTCTGTTATTATAAAAACTATACTTTAGATTAATAAATTCTATTTTGGTAACTGAGGAATTAGGATTTATGAAAACTGTCATACTAAAAAAAATTCTAACCTAGGTAATCAAATCATTCTAAAAACCAATACTGTACCTATAAGAGGGAAAACTAGGGCTCTTTAGCATAGACTTAGCCAGAAGGAGACTGCAGTTATTTAACTTTACCTTCAAAGGCTATTGATTATGAAATGGCACCAGAATGGAAATCAAAGAACCTGGTTGTAGTCCCCTGCTGATAGCTAGGGGCATATTACCAAACAGACATCAATTTCCTCCGTACAAAAATAAGAAGGCCTGAGCAGACATTAGCCACAGGTTCCAGCCTTAAAACTATGAATGCATTCATGTTCGGGGCATGTGGCTTAAGAGCCTTAATATTTTTAGCAACATTACCCTTCCTCCCTGTCCATTTTTCCTTCATTATGTTTTCGTTACATAATTACACTCAGAAAATAACCAGCAGGAACAATGAACACTAAAGAGGAGTCTTACAAACAAACTTAAATGATAATCTGGCAGGCATTCAAGTGTCTTCCCAATTAGGTTTCAAGGCCCTTGGGGTCCTTTCTCATATTCTACTGTATCTGAGGGCTGGGGATTTAGCTCAGTGGTTTTGCTGCCTGCTGCGCAAGTGCAAGGACCCAAGTTCAATCCCCGGTACCAAAAAACCCAAAAAAACAAAAAATCATATTCTACTGTATCTGTCTATAATTTAGATAAATGTATAATATGTGGTAAACTGAATGCCTCATGTCTGATTTTTTTTCCTCAAGCTGTCCGTTTCCTTATGACCAAATAAATTTTGTTAGGCCCCAAAACTAATAATAAATGATGTCCAGTGCTTCTTGTCACTAATTCTGCTTTTTCAAACTTTCATATCTTTTTGATAGTTTTTTGGTTAATCTCACCAGACACAGATTTGCAAATGGGAACAGCAATAACAAAGGAGACCTAGTCAAAACTATCAGACCTCCCTATTTCTTTACTTCAAATGTTTCCACACTAAAAATAGATGCACTCTCAGCATTGGGGTAGCTTGGAAGTCCTTACAACCCTCTTATATCCATGAGCACCCTCCAAAACAAATATGCAATCTAAGTAAAAAGAGCATATTTGCTATTTAAATATAGCTTAAAGAGTAAGTCTCCCAACTCCCTATTCAATGGGGTTGTTGCCCTCAAAACCCTCTTAAGTGGAAATTCTGAAACCACCACCAGCTATCAGTGGATCAGAAATGTACAGACAAAAATTCTGTAAGGGTGGAAGGAAAGGCAACTTAAAAGGAAGAAACATTCTTTATCCTGCACACCCTTCATAGTGATAAGACTTATAATGCAGGCTGGCACCCAGGGGTGTTTTCTCCAGCCATCTGTTCTCCATCTCAGGTTGTGAGTCATCTTTGGACCATACCTGAGAATTAACCAAGTTTTACACAAAGGTCAGTGTTTTACCTCCTGTACAATGGCAACTCTCTGGGAAATTGGGGCACATAACCAAATATCCTTTAAGATAAGTAGCCATTGCTTGAAAATAGTAAATGAAGCCTATGTCATTTTGGAGCTTAGTTTTCACATGCAACTTGAGTATCAAAGACATTTACACGGCTATTGAAGATATCAGTTTAGGTGTCTGGGGCACCGGAGATGTTAGGGACATTTGCAAAATTTATTTAACACCATTTACTGAATATCAGGCATTGTGCTGAGCTTGGTGATTACAATAATGATCAAGATGTGGCCCCTTCTCTTACAGACCTTTCAGAGAGCAATGGGAAAACAAGCAATTCTCTTGAAGTATGCCTTCAAGGGCTTACAGCAGGGCATCTAACACAGTTTGGGGAAGTCAGGGAAGGCTTCCAAGGTTGAAGAGGAATTGCTGGGCAAAAAGGAAGGAAAAGTATGTATTCAGGCAAAGTACAATGGCCCAAGAGCATTTAACAAGTCCAAGGAATAAATTTATTAGATAACTGAGTAAAAGACATTTTCAGACAGTAGTCCTTAGGGTGATAGTGATAGTCATAGTGGTAATAATAACAACAACAATAATAATAATAGATGGCTAATATTTACAGAGTGTGCATGTGCCAGGCACTGAGCTCAGAGTTTGACATCCAATCTCTCCATCCATTCCTCAGAATAACCCTAGCAGGTTATTGGCATCATCGTGCCATTTTCTAGAGCAGGAAAAAGTTTGAGAATCTTAGGCAGTTTTCCTTCCAGGGAATAAGAGATAGACATTAGTGCTTGTTCTTTTAGACCAAGCAGTTCAACTTTTTGGTCTCAGGACTCCTTTACACTCTAAACCAAAGTTATTGATGACCCTAAATAGCTTTTGTTTATGTGAATTGTACCAGTATTTATCATATTAGAAACTAAAGCTGAATTGTCTTATTTAATTCATTTAAAACTAAAAAATCTGCTAAGGTTAACATAAATGAAATATTAATGAAAAGTAACCATTGTCAAAAAAAAATTTTTTTTTTTGGTACCAGGGATTGAACTCAGGTCCTTGTGCTTGTGAGGCAGGCAGTGGAACCACTGAGCTAAATCCCTGGCCCTGTCAAAAAAATTTTTTAACTAGAATAATTTCATTGTTTTATATTTTTGGCAAATCTCTTTACTGTTTGGCTTTATGGAAGGCAGCTGGATCCTCATATCTGCTTCTTCTGCGTTTCATCTATTTCAGTATCATACTTGTTTGTATCCCCTGGGAAATTCCACTGTATAATCATGAGACAGTACGGTGAAAACATTGTCTTAATTCATCTATGAAAAGAGATTAGATCCTGAACATCCCCAGGAAAGGTATGGGACTGCATTTTGGGAGCTGCTATTACAGAGTCTGAGGAAGTCAGTTACCTTGTGCTCCATCTCAAAATGCAGCATCACAGAGTAGCTGCATCGAGGAAGGAAAGAGCACTTTGCTGGACATCAGGAAATATGGGTATGGTGCCAGCCCTATCCCCAAGCAGCTGCCTCTTATTTGGTATCATGCTGCCTGGTGGTCATGTGGGATGGTACAGGCCTGAGTCTTGAGTCTGAGTCACTGCTCCCTCTTTACTATAGGTTGCTGTGCTATTCTTTAAAATCTCAAATCATAACTGAGTTTGTCACATCCTTTCAGCATTGAGCTAACCATCTCTACTATTCACCATTAGCCCTACTTTATGGCAAGAGACTCAATCTTCTTCCTAAAGGATATGACAGATGATATGATTTTTCCACCAGATCCTAGAGTCATTATTAAGTGGCATTATTAAACAAAGTGTGGTAATCACTTAAAATGTGAACACCAACAAGCAGCATGCATTCATTCAAATCCAGAGATGCTTAGTTTCTTCCACTGGAATCATGGAGAATGGTGTGGATCTTATTTCAGTGAGACATATAACAGAGTTTCTCAGAATAGCTTCATAAATCAGAGGGAGATTATAACTGATGACCACACAACAGTAAATTGTTATTAGATCGGAACACTGAAAACTAAGGCACAAGGCCTGATGAAGACACCAGCATTCCAATGGAGCAGGATTTCTAATGGTACGTTGCTAGACTTTTCTGTCCTGTCCCAACATCTCCACAACTTGAATAAAAACTAGGTGATACATATATATTTAATTAGGAAATAACATGAATTTGGTAGGAACATCTAACAAATTTGATACAAGGATCATATCAAAACTCAAAAACCTTTGCTTGAAAACCTTTACTGATATGATACTACCTGCTACATGAGGTCCAAGCTCCTTAGGACACATTCACAACCTTCCACCATTTAACTCAAAATTTCCCACCCAATATCAT